CCATAAGCAAATGGTGCATAGATTATCCAGTAACAACGTTTGCTAGATGGGAGGCTTGACATGGTGCTGCTCCGTCATACCACCGTCTTATCTGGCTAGGTGTCTTGAATTTTGAAGGCACTGAATTTGTCTGAACTATTTGCTTGTGTTCCCAAAAGGTTCCCTGGCAGTCGGGAGAACAATGGAATGTGCAGCAGCAGTATCTGGTGTGGCGCTTATGGCCACCCTATCGATGTTGCTGCCGCACTTAGCAGCGGTGCATCTCAGTCTGCTGGCACTGCTGCTGTTCTGCTCACTCTGTCTTGTGGCTGGTCTCATCTTGGAGGTAAGCACAAAATCATTGTGTTGTCTGCAATAGCACGTATTTCTGTGTGACGTTTGAATGATTCAATACATTGCAAAGGGCAGCAAGGAAGCCACATGTCTAGTTAGTCAGAGGATGTTACAAGTTATTCTTTTGTCCAGCTTGAATGCAAATCTGAACATAACAAATTATATGGCGGCTGCAGTCCTCTGTCAGTCTGCATTCTGCTCACACTGTTGCTTGCCACTGGAAGCTTCTTGGGCAGCATCCGCTGGCCTCCGAACGCTGGGAGCACTACCTGGACGAGCTGCAGCTGCTGGCCCATCACGCGCTGCCGGAGCACGTGCCGGCGCCGACGGTGGCAGTGCCGCCCGCGGTGCCGCCCGAGCCAGCCGGCGACGCCTTCCAGGCCGAGCTTATCGGCCTCGTGGGCGATGTCGAGCGTCAGTACATCCTCAGCTGGTGAGAGCGATGGGCTATCAGTACATCCTCAGCTGGTAAGAGGGGCGGGAGGCTGTCAGTACATCCTCAGCTGGTGAGAGCGATGGTCTGCCAATACATCGTCAGCTGGTGAGAGCGATGGGCTGTCAGTACATCCTCAGCTGGTAAGAGCGATGGGCTGTCAGTACATCCTCAGCTGGTGGGAGCGATGGGCTATCAGTACATCCTCAGCTGGTGAGAGCGATGGGCTGTCAGTACATCCTCAGCTGTTAAGAACGATGGGCTGTCAGTACATCCTCAGCTGGTAAGAGCGATGGGTTGTCAGTACATCCTCAGCTGGTGAGAGCGGTGGGCGTCAGTACATCCTCAGCTGGTGAGAGGGTCGGCTGTTAGTACATCCTCAGTGGCTGAGAGCGGTGGGCCGTCAATACACCCTCAGCTGGTGAGAGGAGTGGGCTGTCAGTACATCCTCAGCTGGTGAGAGGGTCGGCTGTTAGTACATCCTCAGTGGCTGAGAGCGGTGGGCCGTCAGTACACTCTCAGCTGGTGAGAGGAGTGGGCTGTCAATGCATCGTCGGGTGGTGAGAGGGATGGGCTGTCAGTACATTCTCAGGTGGTGAAAGCGATGGGCTGTTAGTACATCCTCAGTGGCTGAGAGCGGTGGGCCGTCAGTACACCCTCAGCTGGTGAGAGGAGTGGGCTGTCAATGCATCGTCGGGTGGTGAGAGGGATGGGCTGTCAGTACATTCTCAGGTGGTGAAAGCGATGGGCTGTTAGTACATCCGCAACTGGTGAGGGGGGTGGGCTGTCCGTACATCCACAGCTAGTGAGAGGGTTGGCTATCAGTACATCCGCACCTGGTGAGAGCGGTGGCTGTCGGCGCAGACCATAGCTTTCTCGTAGACGTGAGCAGTTAGGCCATCATGTGACCACGCAGTTGGCGCTCTGCAAAGCCCGAATCATTATCATCACCCACCAGGCATCCTGTCAACATCTGCCGCTCAACATATACTCTCTTGACGCTTGCTAGGTGGAGATGTCCATTCGCTTTTTTTGCAGCAGCAGGTCTACCCAACTATTAGGTCCTGCGATAACAGGAGATGGCCATTACTGCAGTCGTCCGTTGTTGCTGGATGACCTGCCCTGGGTCGCTACAGTATATCTGCCGTCAGCTGCAGACAGTGTTCGCGTGCATGCCACGTTATCATGTTTTCAAAGTCATATTTGAATATGCTCTGATTCGAACTAGCATGTTTAAAGCACCATCCCGATTGGAAGCTTCATCCTTCAATCAGCCTTTGAATGCTCGAAGGCAGCTTTTGTGCCAGTTTTCCTGAACTCGAGCACGTGCCTGCCATCGTGCCTGCCTGAGTCGTCATCGCAGTAGCTAGGCGGCTCAGCCGAGCGGCCGGTCGGTTGTGTGGCTCCGGGAGCACAGCTGCGGCATCATTGATACTGGCTGGACACTGGTGCTTGTGGTACCCGTATCCGGTGATGTCCGGGCCAAGCGCCCATTCCAACGCCTGCACGGCTGACGGCTGTCGCACCCGACCGTGGACAGGTACTCCGATATCAGCCGTGAGATGTCGTTCCCGCGTCGGGGCAAGGCGCTGCTGGATGAGGCGGTGTACGAGCTGGCCGGACGCGCCTCCTCGCTAAACGCGCGCCGTCTACTGATCCGCGTGACGCGGCTGTTCCACCTACACTACGAGCGCCACAGGCGGGCGGCGGCCCGCGCCGGCCGCCGGCCCCTGCAGGCTGTGTATCGGTACCGGCACCCGGTGAGCCGCGGCCGACTCGCTGAGCCGGCCTACCTGACCGCCATGGCCGGCCGCCTTCTGCGTGAGCTGGTGCCTGCGCGGATTCGCCTCCTCGGCTCACCTGAGCTCTTCCTGGACCGTATTCTGGCCAGCGCCGTGCTGCGCAACCTGCTGGACCGCGTGAGCGAGCCGGCCACCTTGCAGCGCTGGCTGCTGGAGGCGTTAGCCGAGCCGCGCCCTTCGCCCGAGCCGGCAGTCGTGCCGCCGCCGTCTGGCCCGCCGCCGCCGTCCGACCTGCCACCGCCGTCTGACCCGCCGCCGCCGACTGACCCGCCACCGCCGTCTGACCCGCCGCTGACCGCCCTCGTCAGCGTGGCCGACCAGTCGAGTCAGACACACGACGAGTTCATAGTGTCGCCGCGGCCGCTGCGCTGCCCCGCCGACCGTCCGCCGTACACGCGGAGCCGACGGCTGGGCACGCCGACGTCCGACGCCGGCACACAGACACGGCGCATCTGGGAGCGCCGCGCAGAGCGGCGCTCGGTGCGCGGCGGCCTGCGCACGGCCCTACCCAGCTCCACGGCGCTGGCCGTGCGCGACGCGTTGCCAGTGGCCGCCTGTGGCCCGTTCGCCAAGCTGTGGCGGCCGGCGGAGCGAGTTGCCGACTCGGCGGCAGGCCTCAGCAGTTTCCCGTTCGGCGGCGACAGTGTAGTGCTGGGCATCACGGAGGAGGAGTACCGACGGCAGGTGGATGCGGAGGCGGAACGCCACTGGCGGGCCAAGGAACGCGCCCGCCGCCGCCGGCGCCGGATGCAGCACCGGCGCAGCAACAGCCTGGACGACGTAAGTGTGGAGCTGCGGCCGGCGCCGCCTGGCCGGCTGCGGCCCGATCACACGGAGGCGCCGGCGGTGCTGCCCGTCTCCCGATCCGTCTGCCATCTGGAGGCGCTCGGAAGCCCGAAAGAGGCGGCGGACGCGACCGACGAGCGCACGAGGAGTAGGAGCGGCCTGCTGCGTGGGGAAGCTGTGCAGAGAAACCCGCTGAATCGCACGGAAGAGCTGGACCAGCGGGCGTCCGTGGGGTCGGGGTGCCCGGCGGCGGTCTCCGTCGACTCTGAGCCCCCGTCAGCGGCACCCGCTCCGGCCGTGTGCGCGACCAAGGCGAGCACGCCGGAGCGAGAGACGGAGCTGGCGGCGCAGCGCGGGCCGGGCGCCACGGAGGAGAGACCCGAGGGCCGCGCTGGCGGCGGCATTGCCCGCAGCGCCAGCAGTGGCAGTATTCCGACCCGGGCTCGCGCCAAGTTCCAGAGCATGCTGCAGTCCGCCGCGCAGGGAATCGCCAAGAAGGCGCCCCCGCTGACGTCAAGCCGCTTTGTGACTAACGCGTCTTGCCAGTTGCCGACGCCAGCGGTCCCCGCCACGGCTGCCGCGTCAAGCCCTTCCTCAGTGCAAGCCTCTTCTGGCGATCTCTCCACGGGGGCCTCGTGTACCCCGTCTGCCGTGGGCGCGCAGTCAGGCCCCTCCTCGCTGGGAGTCTCGGCCGCGCCCTCCGCCGCGTCGAATCCGCCCGCCCGCTCGGCGCCGGCGGCGGCGCCGCGCTCCGGCTCGCCGCTGTCGTCGCCCGAGTACGAGGAGTCGGACGACTTCGCCGGCACGATCGCCAAGCTGCGGGCCGTGCTGGAGGAGCGCCGCCAGCTGAGCGGCAGCCTGAGCAGCGGCACTGACACGCCCAGCTACAGCAGCTGCCCGCCGGCGCTGCCGCCGTTCGCCGAGGACGAGCCGGCCGCGTCCTCAGCGGCCGGCGGCGCTGGCGCTGGCGGCGGCGCTGAGACGGTGCGCTCTGTGATCGACGGCGTGCGCCAGCGGCTGTTTCACCGCGACAGCAGCTCGGCCAGCTCCAACTGCTCACCGGGGCCGCGCTCGCTCGAGGGGCTGGTGCACCGCGACTCTGCCGCCTCCATCTACAGCGCAAAGTCCGGTAAGTAGGAGCCCGGCATGGGCAGGCACTGGTCGGACATGTAGCGGCAGGTCTTGAATATCGAGGTACAAGCTGCTCGCTTTTGAATTGAACGATTTGTTGATTTTTTCCGTTTCTAAGTAGTTTGTCAAAAGTTCACGTCTATTCTTCTTGTAAAGTAGTCAAGACAGAACTTCAGCAACGGTGGGACCGGCTTTAGAAAGCTCGTGCTGGAGCTCGTGCCTGCTCTCGCACGGCCAACCATCTCTGCGGAATCTCACTTTTTGTAATTAAAAGCCAGTTTTTCACGGCTGGCAGATGGACTTACTTTAGGCATCATATTTGTGTACGCAGCTGTGCATAGCGTGCACCGCAGCCAGACCGCACACAAATTGAAAGCTGTGCGGCAGCGGTGTGGGGCAGCCTGCTTAAGCAGTAAAGCTCATGGGTTCCGCTTGGCTCGCAGCGAGGAGTTGAATGCGTGCTCATTTATGAGTCTCAAGTGCCTGCTTCCATTTGCGAACCTCAAAGCAGCAGCTTTATGTTTAATTGACGCCAGAACCGCTTCCAAACACTGAAAAGGCTCTGCACACGGTGTCTCTGGTACTTCACCCATGACTATCACAAATATTTCGGAGGCAACCACAGGATACATTTTACTTGTACGATTGTGCCGAGACATGGTTACGGCCTTCAGACTTTTTATGACGGGGTTTGTTTGTTCATGCGCATGGTTAAATCAAGACGACTTGCATTACCCAAAGCCCGCCTTACCGAAACACGCGACACCTTTCACTCTTGGTTTCATTTAGACGTCCTTCTGCCCAAGATGACTAGAAACTTATATTCACAAATGTATCCCTGCTGGCAAAGTAGGTTGAACTATGACAACGAGGAAGCTGAACACCGTAGGATGAAGCACGGCCCTTGATGACGTAGAGATTACATGGACGTTCTTGTCAGCACTACATATAAAATGCAACGTTTGTCACGGGGTTGAGCTATCACTGGTAAGAGATCAGTTAGAGGTTTCTTGTGAAGGAAGGCAAAAACGTATTTTTGCCGAAATTCTGAGAAGCGTTAAAATCATCAGATCTAAAAATTCAAAAACGGGACGTTCAATCTATTTCGTTTGGAGCAAAAAATTCATGCTTTTCAGTACGTGCTTTCGTATTGGTCCAAATGAGAAAAAAATCACTCAGCCTCCCAAAAATCAAGTTTCACCTTTTCGATGCAACCTAATGGCGAGCCTTGTCACATACGTGGGACCGCGCCTTCAAAAGATAACACTGCCTGAACGGACGACGCTGGCCGGTCACGCTGGCTGTGCTGGCACGCGAGCGCCGGCCGTCCGGTGGCTGGCATGGTGTGCAGCAGAAGCTGCAGCAGACCGCTGCTGCGTTCCAGAGCGGGAGCTGGACCTGGCGGCATTCCCAGAGGAGATTTTTGAGGCGGCCGAGCTGCCGATGGACGGCCGCATCTTTATGAACGTGGTTATCAGCGGCACGGAGACGCAGCGCGAACGGGCCGGCGGCGAATACACCCTGTACACGGTCCAGGTGAGGCGGCGAGTACACCCTGTACACGGTCCAGGTGAGGCGGCGAGCACACCCTGTACACGGTCAAAGTGAGGCGGTGAGCACACCCTGTACACGGTCCAGGTGAGGCGGCGAGCTCACCCTGTACACGGTCCAGGTAAGGCGACAAGTACACCCTGTACACGGTCCAGGTGAGGCGGCAAGCACACCCTGTACACGGTCCAGGTGAGGCGGCAAGTACACCCTGTACACGGTCCAGGCAAGGCGGCAAGTACACCCTGTACACGGTCCAGGTGAGGCGGCAAGTACACCCTGTACACGGTCCAGGCAAGGCGGCAAGTACACCCTGTACACGGTCCAGGTGAGGCGACGAGTACATCCTGTACACGGTCCAGGCAAGGCGGCAAGTACACCCTGTACACGGTCCAGGTGAGGCGACGAGCACACCCTGTACACGGTCCAGGCAAGGCGGCAAGTACACCCTGTACACGGTCCAGGTAAGGCGACGAGTACACCCTGTACACGGTCCAGGTAAGGCGACAAGTACACCCTGTGCACGGTCCAGGTGAGGCGGCAAGTACACCCTGTGCACCATTGTTGGAAAACTTGACGTTTCCTGGTATAATGTATACCAGGAGATTTTGTACTACAGAGTTGTCACTCGGTAAAATGAAGCATTTTGTACTCCATCATGATGCAACAAGGACAGCTTTTGGAAATCTCATTTTACCTCTTCGTGTCAGGACAAAATAAAACCAGAAGGTGCAACAGCTTGAGACTTGCTGCTTCCATCAGGAGCCATGTATTGATATCTGCAAGAGCACAAATCTGGCACCCACCAAGCTAAGATGCTCAATAGCAAGCAGCCTGTGTTGCCACCTAGGTATGTGATAAACCGTGTATGGAAATGTGCAAAATAAAGCATGTGAATGTTAAATGAAATCGCCTTTGAACGATACCGGGAAATGAGAAACGAATACCAGAATCGCATCGGTCTGTAGATTAGCAAAGTTCTCACTTCCTATGCCCTGCGCAGACCAACTCAAACTTGAACATGACTTAACCTACCATTGACGGCGAACCGCATTAACTGCCAAGGGTGCAACGAACATTCATAAAAAACCGCACGCCCAATCCCTTCCGCAGACGGCCGCCTACCCACGCGCCGCCACTGTTGGCAATGCAAATAACAATCACTCGCAATTCAGTGTCGGAAACGTCTCAACTATTCAGCGGCTGACGCCCGCCTCCCAGCTCAGGAGGAGGTCGAACCTAGCAAAACTCCCCAATTGGCTTTAATGATTTGCCTCCTGGTGTCTGATTTGTCAAGAGCATAAATATTCCGCTCGTGCTCATGCCTTGAACATATTTGTAAACATTAGATTTGTAAACATTTGAAGAGAAGCTGTATAGAGATATCACGATTATAAAGGACTTATTTGTACTCATCCAGAACCACCATGTGGTTGGATTTTTGGCCACTTCCTGGTATCCGGAATACAAAAATGTTCGGCAGCTGTGGATTTAAACCAAGTCAGATTTGTCACTTAGGGATGTGAAATTAAAGCTGGTAATTCAGGCTTTACAAAAATGCCCTTTTAAGTCGAAAAACGTTGCTATAAATACAAAAAAACTTCGGAGACAGCCATCTTACTCCAGCAAAAACACCAGGACACCGGAGTAACATGAACCCATAACTTTGGCCCGGCAGATAGAGGAAAAGGGTTTATTAGGACAAAAGCATCGATTCATTGCAACCTAAATTGTCATCTTTCACAACGATATCGGCTAAAGCGCATCAAAATCCACTAATACCTTGCGTTATCCGCCGGAGTCAGCGGAGTGACTGCCTCCGGTCCCTGCTGGCCGGCTTGGACGGGTCTGTCAGGCATTGTACTAACGCTGGCTCGGTGAATCGGTTGAGAGTGCTTCCTGTCTCTAGTATTCGGCTGGGACGTGCAGGGCCTCGTGTGCTGTCCGGGAGTTGGAAGGTGGAGGGCATGAATGTTTAGCCGTTTTTAAAACCAGTTGGCTGGTGGAGCGTGAGTAGCGTGACCGTGGTGGAGCGTGAGTAGCGTGATCGTGGTGTAGCATGAGTAGGTGGCCGTCTGTGGCACGTTCATTTGCTTTTTGTGTACCATTTTTGTCTGGCTGTGCGTATCGTACCCACCCTCCATTTTGGACGGTGTATAATCCCGGTGTGTAGCTACCCTCCAGTTTAGAAAGTGCATAAGCCCGATGCGTAATTACCCTCGGTTTTTTTTTGGGGGGGGGGGTGTGTGTGTACACACAGAATCTTTCATAAATTGCAAACAAATGTACATGCACATGTGTTTCATAGTACAGGGTATGCGACTGTGTTGTTTCAGTGTGCCGTGTTTAATACTGATATTTTCTTTCATTTAAAGTGCTTTTACATGAATTCCTGTATATGAAAAGTGGCGCTTTTGTTGAGTGACACCCACTGTATTATTATCTCTCAAAGATAACCTAAATAAAGCTATAATGGCCCGCAGCGCTTGGATGATTTTATACTCCACTGTAGAAAATTTGTACTCCGCTACCAGGAAATTTTTTGGAATTTCCAACACTGCTGTACACGACCCAGGTGAGGCGGCAAGTACACCCTGTACACGGTCCAGGTGAGGCGACGAGTACACCCTGTACACGGTCCAGGTGAGGCGACGAGTACACCCTGTACACGGTCCAGGTGAGGCGGCAAGTACACCCTGTACACGGTCCAGGTGAGGCGGCAAGTACACCCTGTACACGGTCCAGGTGAGGCGACGAGTACACCCTGTACACGGTCCAGGTAAGGCGGCAAGTACACCCTGTACACGGTCCAGGTGAGGCGACGAGTACACCCTGTACACGGTCCAGGCAAGGCGGCAAGTACACCCTGTACACGGTCCAGGTGAGGCGACGAGTACATCCTGTACACGGTCCAGGCAAGGCGGGCAAGTACAACCCTGTACACGGTCCAGGTGAGGCGACGAGTACACCCTGTACACGGTCCAGGCAAGGCGGCAAGTACACCCTGTACACGGTCCAGGTAGGCGACGAGTACACCCTGTACACGGTCCAGGCAAGGCGGCAAGTACACCCTGTACACGGTCCAGGCAAGGCGGCAAGTACACCCTGTACACGGTCCAGGCAAGGCGGCAAGTACACCCTGTACACGGTCCAGGTGAGGCGTCGCGCCCACACACGGCCAGCCGAAGTAGCTGCGCCGGGTAGCGGCCACACGCCCTGTGGCCTACGTGACGCCGTGTACCTGCGTGTGCTGACTAACGCATACTGTCGACCAAAATGACATTTCATGTTAGGAAGAAGTTTCATCGCGTATCATTCCGGCAGCTTTGGAAGCTATCTTGCGGTAAAGAAGCCTCAGGGGCATTTTCTCCGTAAAGGTTAAATGCCCCTGTTTTTCCGGCCCACGGCTGTCTTTCCGCCTGCGCGTGCGTGCCGATTTAGCTGGACCTTAATGTTATGTAGCAGGAACTACGGTCCGCAGTGTTTGGGTTCGGAGGACCATGTGCGCTCCTGCGTATTCTTCCTCCATGCAATGTTCTATGCGCGGCGTTTAAGGATTACTTGTGTATGCAGCCCAATTGTGTGTTGCGACATACCAGAGAGCTTTGTGCGCCTCATTTGTGATGTCTTGTTAACATGTGCTCTATACGAAATTAACTGTTTTACCTTTCAGATGTTTGTTGTATACCTTTTGTGCGTCTTTTCGTACTGCACCTGCATCACTTGAAACCGTAACAGCCACTTTGTGGATGGTTTCCAATTTACTGGTACTGCTACTGATATGTACGCATTCTATGCCTGCTTGCCCTCAGTGCACTTCATTCAATGGTCTCGTTTGAAATTTGCGCAAGAATGGTCGCAAAAAAAAATAAATATTAGAAGCTGACACGCTGCACGGGACCTTGGTACGGGGGGGGGGAGGGGGAGGCGGGGGAAGCGTTTACCTCCGTCCTCACCAATGTCCCGTTGTACGCCGGACAGTACGATGGCCTGTATCTGGCGGCCGCCGAGGGGGACGACCCCGAACAGTCCGAGACGTCCATGGTGCTCAAGACGAACGTGGTGCGGCGTCGGTTCCGCGAGTTCCTCAACCTGCACGCCCGCCTGGAGGCCAGCCCCGCGTATCGGCACCTGCTCCGAGGTGAGACCGGACCGAGGCCCTGTGTCTGGAGGCCGGCCCCGCTTACCGGCGCCTGCTCTGAGGTGAGACTGGACCGAGGCCCTCTGCCTGGAGGCCAGCCCCGCGTACCGGCACCTGCTCCGAGGTGAGACTGGACCGAGGCCCTGTGTCTGGAGGCCAGCCCCGCGTACCGGCGCCTGCTCCGAGGTGAGACCGGACCGAGGCCCTGTGTCTGGAGGCCGGCCCCGCTTACCGGCGCCTGCTCTGAGGTGAGACTGGACCGAGGCCCTCTGCCTGGAGGCCAGCCCCGCGTACCGGCACCTGCTCCGAGGTGAGACTGGACCGAGGCCCTGTGTCTGGAGGCCAGCCCCGCGTACCGGCGCCTGCTCTGAGGTGAGACTGGACCGAGGCCCTGTGTCTGGAGGCCAGCCCCGCGTACCGGCGCCTGCTCTGAGGTGAGACTGGACCGAGGCCCTCTGCTTGGAGGCCCGCCCCGTGTACCGGCACCCGTCCCAGGTGAGACTGGACCGAGGCCCTCTGCCTGGAGGCCAGCCCCGCGTACCGGCACCTGCTCCGAGGTGAGACTGGACCGAGGCCCTCTGCCTGGAGGCCAGCCCCGCGTTCTGGACCGAGGCCCTCTGCCTGGAGGTCAGTCCTGTATACCGGCACCCGTCCCAGGTGAGAATGGACCGAGCCTTCTGCCCGTAGGCCGGCAGAAGGCCTCGTACATCCCGTGTACCGGCATATCCAGACATATCCAGTCTCATCTGGGATGGGTATCCCAGGTGAGACTAGATCGAGGCGCTCTGCCTGGAGGCCAGCCCCGCGTGCCAGCACCTGCTTCGAGGTGAGACTGGACCGAGGCCCTCCATAAACGCGCGCTCTCTAATGTCACATTTAACACTCGCCGGACGAGAGACTTTAGGTGGACACTGATCAGACATGCTGGAATCATTTATAAGGTACGGTACGCATGATACAGAAGTTTTCGGGTTACAACGTTACACAACATCCAGAGAAATGAAAATATAGGATGTTTTAAAGGCTGCGATTAAGGACGTGTTTTGTCGGGAACATGACGGCCGTGTATCGTGGTCACTCGTTTTGTAACGCCCGTTTGTCATACTGAAACGAACTCTGAAACACCATCCTGCATCAAGCTGCTCTATCGGATCTTGACGCATAATGATGCGATTCTTTCAAGCGGTATTGAGTCAGGCCATCCAATCTCAAACTAGGGAACGTGCAACAGATGTGTTTTGAGGGAAAAATGTCCGAGGCTGTTCACCTTCTAATTGAAGCACTACGCTTCAGTTTAAGCAAAGTTTTACTGTCTGGTGCATGCTAGGCGCTATCTACGCTATATCTTGTCGCATCCTGTTTAGTTCATGCAGTTCTTGAGAGATCAACGTATGTTGCGGTACGTCGTATATCAGTGCTTTCCATTGCTGCTCGCATACCACATAGATGACACGTGATCAGTGATACCCGCGCACAGTTTGATGACACGTGATCAATGATACGTACCCGCGCACAGTTTGATGACACGATCAGTGATACGTACCCGCGCACTTTGATGACACGTGGTCAGTGCTTAGCATCCGCGCACAGTTCGATGACACGTGATCAGGGGTACGTACCCGCGCAGTTTGATAACACGTGACCATTGATTAGCATCCGCACACAGTTCGATGACACATGATCAGTGATACGTACCCGCGCAGTTTGATGACACGCGATCAGTGATGAGCATCCGCGCACAGTTTGATGACACGTGATCAGTGATACGTACCGGCGCGCGTTTTGATGCGCACTAGCATTTGCCGCTTCCGGCCGGAGCCCAGCATGTTTTTGGGATGTCTGCGGCCCCGCCCCACAAGTGTAAAAATCACCTGTCTCTGGTAGGGGCAAGGGAACACCAAACAAAGGCATGAATGGGCCCAGTATTCACTCTTGCCTGTACGGAGGAGAGTCTGCCTCAGCGTAAGATCGTCACCCGTTGCGTAAGCTGGACCTTGGCGCTGTGCAGGAGCTGACTGGCCCAAAGCGTGCCATGTATAAGTCGTGCCACACATGGCGTCTTAGTGCACACATTTCGTTACAATACGTCGTGAATGTGATGTACTGCCAATGTGTTTTTTGTTGTTGACAGATTTCGTTTTTGTTATCTCACGTGCAGTGATGGCGGCCGGTTAACTATTCGTCATAAGTCGTTACGCGTAAGATTGTTTTCAGCAGCGATTTGCTCCGCTACCAATCAGAGATCCGTGCCGTCGTTTCAGTGCTGTAACAATGGCGATGAAACGGTGGTGCGTCAGGGATGACAATGATAGACAAATATTTTGCATCTTCCGCTACAACTGACTGGTGCACACTGAGACCACGTCAGACACTGGAAGCTCTCCCTTCACAAGGACCACCCCGCGCGTTCTCCAGGCATCAAGGAGCCTAGCCGGTGGCAAACATTGCCATTCAGCCGGCTGGACAGCGCCGCGATCGTGTCCCGGCGCACCTTCCTGGAGCGGTACCTCTGCCAGCTGTGCGCCAGACCCGAGATATCCACCAGCGACGAGCTCAAGGAGTTCATGGCCTACGAGACGGACGGCAGCATCGCCTTCATTCGCAAGCCGGCCATCAACGTGCCGCGGATAGACCAGGTGAGGTCGGCGTCTCCGTTAGCGCGAACGACCGCCACTGACCCGCCGCCGCACGAGCCCAGTCGGGACCGAGAGTGTCTGCTCCAGCTCGCGTCGTGTGCTTTAAGAAAAGCAGTGCACGCATGGCCCTCTTTGAGCCGCTGGGGGTGGCAGCGACCGCGTGAGCTATGAGTGACTGGAGAGCAGAGCGCAGTCGGAGATCAAGCCAGAACACCACCGCTGTAGCAATCCTGGCTGTCACTTCGCAGGTTTGATTGCCGTTTTGGCATTGGTAAATTCTCCGAACCCCGGATGTCGTCAGAAAAACGATGTCTTAAGTGTACGAATTCCTTCGGCGTGTTGAAGCGTTCGTATGATTTTTTTTCTCGCTCGCGTTAATAACGTCACATAGTGTCATCTTGCCAAGGTCGCCGGCGCCCTTTGCGTCGTTTTACGCCAATTTGCTGTTATTGATCTGACCGCTGTCCCGCCTGTTGACGCTGATCTGATGGGTATACCCCTGGTGGCTCTGATCTGATGGGTTTACCTCTGGTGGCGCTGATCTGATGGGTATATCCCAGGTGGCGCTGATCTGATCGGCATGCTGCTGGTGGCGCTGGTCTGATCGGTGTTCTGTTTGTTGGCGGACGTTCGTCTCCGGGCCGCATGTTGGCATTGTTTGCTCTGTGTGCGCCAGATGTTCACCAAGACAATGTCGGGCGTGCTGAAGACGATCCGCACGGCACTGCCCAGCTTCGACAGCGGCGAGTCGCAACGAAAACACTCTGAGGAGCGCCGACCCGTCAGCATCGGCTACAAGTACAACGTCCACGTGATGTGCGGCACCGACGAGCAGGTGCGCCCTGCGAGCGGGGCGGCCCTCCGACTGGTGACCAGCCCCAGCCGGAGCGGGAGCGCCCCCCCCCCCCCCCCTCCTCACCCCGACCTCGACCCCGACTGGTGTCGCTGACTGGGCCAACCGACTACGCCACCGCAGACCGGCTGCGGTTCAGATCAGAGAAGTCAGATGTGTCGCAGTGGTCGATATTGCAGTACTGAGACGCCTGCCATTTTCCCGGGTGCTGTGAACATTTGGCGACGCTCGTGTTGTGCGCTTTATTGTTCAGTGCACATGTGGTATGCGTGTTCTCGTCGGCCAGTCATGGTATGTTAACCAGCTGCCATCCGCGCCAGCTCGTCTGGGACACTGCCGCAATAATCGCACAGTACCCGTGCAAGATACAATCTATTGTAAAATTTTGCGCTGCCGCAAACCCTCTCACTGGCTTTATTGCTCTGTATGTATGAGGCGACTAGAGGGGTACACGTGGGCTGAAGTATAGCGGCGCGGAAGTTTCAGCGCAGGTTTCACAGGTCTCAGGTTGGGCGGGATGCGGGTGTGGCCTGCCGCGCACGACGGAAAGCGGGTCGGGTGAAGCGTGCGGGCGCGGGTGGGCCGCCACCGCTGCCGCGCCGGTTGTCTCCCCCCCCCCCCCCCCCTCTCACAGGCCGGACGGGGGCGGCGTCCTCGTCCTGAGCCGAGGCGTTGGTGGTGGGTGGGCCGCCACTGCTGCCGCGCCGGCTGTCTCCCCCCTCCCTCTCGCAGGCCGGACGGGGGCGGCGTCCTCGTCCTGAACCGAGGCGTTGGTGGTGGGTGGGCGACACCCTCGCTCCGATCGAGTCAGCGTCTTCGTCACTTGACGCCGCGTCAGGCTCATGACGCTGTTTGTCGGCGCGGGTGGCGGACTGCGCGCCTCAGCAGTCGAGGTGACGCCCCGGTCGTCGCCTCCAGTACGGGGCGCCCCGCAGGCGGGCAGCCGGCCTGTAGATGTCACAGACTGGCATCCCTGCCGCCTTGGGACAGCCCGGCTCAGTGCCGCCTCCGCCCGCAGATGTCACCGGTGGAGATGCATCTGAAGGAGCTGATCGTGGAGTGGGACAAGCTGTCGGCGGTGCCACTGCAGCGCACGGGCACGTCGACCGTCGGTCGCTCAGGCACCGACGACAGCGACTCGGACGCCTCCTTTGAGGACGGTGAGGAGAAGCGCCAGACTGGGGGCGTCACTAGGGCGCCACTGGGGGGGTTGCGGCTGGCGCCCTCACGCCTCACACCTCCCGTACAGCTCCTCTGACGCGCCTCGGGTGTGGCGTCCGCCCAGACGCACGGGTTCCGTCCAGACTGCTCCTGAAGTGGAAGAGGGGTTCTCAGCACTCTCCAACATCAGTTCGAGAAGGAAGTGAACAGTCTGTCGGCCTGTGTCGGTGTGTGTGCCCTGTCCAGACTCGTCACGTCGGCCTGTGTCGGTGTGTGTACCCTGTCCAGACTCGTCACGCCGGCCTATGTCGGTGTGTGTACCCTGTCCAGACTCGTCACGTCGGCCTGCGTCGGTGTGTGTACCCTGTCCAAAATCGTCACGTCGGCCTGTGTCGGTGTGTGTACCTTGTCCAGAATCGTCACGTCGGCCTGTGTCGGTGTGTGTACCCTGTCCAAAATCGTCACGTCGGCCTGTGTCGGTGTGTGTGCCCTGTCCAGACTCGCCACGTCGGCCCGTGTCGGTGTGTGTACCCTGTCCAGACTCGTCACGGCCTGTGTCGGTGTGTGTACCTTGTCCAGAATCGTCACGTCGGCCTGTGTCGGTGTGTGTACCCTGTCCAAAATCGCCACGTCGGCCTGTGTCGGTGTGTGTACCCTGTCCAGACTCGTCACGGCCTGTGTCGGTGTGTGTACCCTGTCCAGACTCGTCACGGCCTGTGTCGGTGTGTGTACCCTGTCCAGACTCGTCACGGCCTGTGTCGGTGTGTGTACCCCGTCCAAAATCGTCACGTCGGCCTGCGTCGGTGTGTGTACCCTGTCCGGACTCACCACGTCGGCCTGTGTCGGTGTGTGTGCGTGGCCTGTCCGGACTCGCCACGCGTCGGGAGCTCAGCCGCGGCGCCGACTGAGCGTGTGTGCCGGTCCGCCAGAGACGCAGCAGTACGAGCGTCACCTGCCGCTGTCGGCGGCGCTGATAGACCTGGTCGTGGAAGTGCTGCGACCGGCTGGCCATTGTGCCGCCAGCGGAACGGCCGTGCGCGCCGCCAAGGTGCTGGTGGGACGGCTGGCAGAGCACTCGCTCCAGGTAGACACCGGGCCTGTCGCCGACCTTCGAACGCTGACATACGATGTGTGGTCATGGCATGGCCGGGACCAGTCGTGGGGCTCTACATTAACTGACTGCCGAAGCGATGGTCGAGAGGCATTTGCGCGCGCCGTGTCTGTTTGTGACCAAGTTGGTAGCATGAGCCCGGCGCATTCTTTGCGATATGGTAGGCCCGCTCGTGACGGCCCTCCTCACGCGGCCGGACTGAAGGTCTCGGGCGAAGCGGCCAATGGAGCCCCCCCCCCCTCCCCTTCGACCCGCTCTGACCGCCGCTGGGCTGTTGGCACTGGTTCCTCTTGACCCGCTTTAACCGCCGCCGGGTCGGTGGCACTGGCTCCTCGTGACCCGCTCTGGCCGCCGCCGGGTCGGTGGCACTGGCTCCTCGTGACCCGCTCTGGCCGCCGCCAGGTCGGTGGCACTGGCTTCTCATGACCCGCCCCGACCGCCGCCGGGTCGGTGGCACTGGCTCCTCGTGACCCGCTCTGGCCGCCGCCGGGCCGGTGGCACTGGCTCCTCGTGACCCACTCCGACCGCCGCCGGGTCGGCGGCACTGGCTCCTCGTGACCCGCTCCGACCGCCGCCGGGTCGGCGGCACTGGCTCCTCGTGACCCGCTCCGACCGCCGCCGGACCGGTGGCACTGGCTCCTCGTGACCCGCTCCGACCGCCGCCGGGTCGGTGGCACTGGCTCCTCGTGACCCGCTCCGACCGCCGCCGGGTCGGTGGCACCGGCTCCTCGTGACCCGCTCCGACCGCCGCCGGGTCGGTGGCATTGGCTCCTCTTGACCCGCTTTGACCGCCGCCGGGCCGGTGGCACTGGCTCCTCGTGACCCGCTCCGACCGCCGCCGGGCCGGTGGCACTGGCTTCTCGTGACCCGCTCCGACCGCCGCCGGGTCGGTGGCATTGGCTCCTCGTGACCCGCTCCAACCGCCGCCGGGTCGGTGGCATTGGCTCCTCTTGACCCGCTTTGACCGCCGCCGGGCCGGTGGCACTGGCTCCTCTTGACCCGCTTTGACCGCCGCCGGGCCGGTGGCATTGGCTCCTCTTGACCCGCTTTGACCGCCGCCGGGCCGGTGGCACTGGTTCCTCTTGACCCGCTTTGACCGCCGCCGGGCCGGTGCAGCGCTCGCTGGACCAGCTGTTCCGGCCGGCCGCGTGCGTCAACTACCTTCGGATGCTGCGCGAGACGCTGTTCTCGTCGGAGCCGGAGCCGGAGGCGACGCCGCGCCCCGACGAGCTTCGTTCGGCCACCATCGCTGCCATCGTGGACCTCAGTGGTGCGTGGTGCTCGCCCTCCTCGGCGAGGAGATCCGGTCTGTCATGGCATCTGTGGCGCAGTGCAGATAAAGAGTGGATTGCTCTGAAATCACTTCGAAATCAACCACCCTGCACCGAAGTCATCTACCATTGTCGTCTATTCGCTTTGGGCGCATGTGTTTTCGCTTCTTTTTTGAAAAAATTCTGGATGATTTTTATGAAGCCTTTATGCACATGTTCCACTGCTTTTACCAGAGATGCGCTCCGCCTCTGACAGCGGTGCCCGCAGTGGCCTGGTCAGGCGGACAACTGTAGATCAGCCTGTGCCTGCTCTGTGTGTCGCAGGTGTGGTCGGTGTGGTGCTGGGCCGCTCGACCCTAGAGCAGGTGGTCGCCAGTCTGCTGGACTCTCTCCAGTCGCCGCGCATCAACCGAGATCTGGCTCTGCAGCTGCTTGACGTCCTGCTGATGGACCTGGTGCCCGACCTGGCCACGGCCACTGGGCCTGTCAGTGATCGGTGAATGTATTGTCGCTCGGGAGATGGCGCTGCCAGCATCGACTGAAGCCGCTGCAGGGGTGACGTGAGCCTCGTCTATGATTCTCTGGTTTCTGGGGACCGGCGTCCACCCGCTTCCCCCGTCTCTCACTCCCTTCTGCCTACTGCCGACTTCGCTGCCCACGGGCGGACTGCGGTCCAGCCCCAGCCGGGTGGTTCCACTGTTGTCGGCTGGCGCGGCGTGATTGCCCGCTGCTTTTGACTCAGTGCATCCCCTCTCTGATCGTTGTGTCAATTCATTCCACGCTGGACACCACATCGATGCGGAACGACGTCGATGTGACGAGCTTGTCGAGCTCCGCGGCGCGATGCGATGTACTGTTGTGCGGTCTACCCTTTCCATTTGTTACAATGTGCGAGTTTTGTGTAGTGGCATCTTGCGTGCAAGCGCTTGGAGCATATTTGCGAATATTTTGGGTATAACCGAAACGCGTCCGTACACATTCGCGGTCTAGCTGGTACAGCTAGCTACTAGGGAGTACTGGGGCCGCGAAATGTGCGCGCAGGATGCCGTTGTGTGGATCTGTGCGAGCGGAGCTTATGCCGACAGCGTATGCCACGGGCATCCAACCTCTCCGAATCTCAGCAGATCTGACAGTCGGCGCGTGTTGCAGTTGGTCATATGGCCGCGGCAATGTGGACGGCGTCAGCACAGGACGCGCCAGGGGTCGGGGATGGGGCGAGGGTCTGCGCGGGACGTGCCAGGGGTCCGGGATAGGACTGGCGTCAGCATAGGACGCGCCAGGGGTCGGGGATAGGGCGAGGGTCTGCGCAGGACGTGCCAGGGGTACGGGATAGGACTGACGTCAGCATAGGACGCGCCAGGGGCCGGGGAAAGGGCGAGGGTCTGCACGGGACGCCCCAGGGGTACGGGGATAGGGCGAGGGTCTGCACGGGACGCGTCGGGAGTTCGGGGATAGGGCGAAGGTCTTAACGGGACGCGCCAGGGGCACGGGGATAGGGTTGGCGTCTGCGCATGACGCGCCAGGGGTACGGGGATGGGGTTGGCGTCTGCACATGACGCGCCAGGGGTACGGGGGTAGGGATGGCGCGGCCTTGATCATTCGCCAGTACGCCCGGAAGTGGGACCGGAACCTATCCATGCGGGCTGGCTCCATATCTGGGACGCTATTGCGGATTGTCCACCGATTTTTTGCATTAGTGGCAGGCGCAATGATTATATATCTGGATATTTCTGACTGACATATATGGGGAGATTGGACGGCTATTCGAAACATGGTACCACAACGTTATCATTGAAATGTTCAACGTCAGGAGACTAGGGAGCACGCAAGCTATTGTTAGTGACTGAGGGGTGGAGAGGTGGCTGAGAGGCTGAGAGGCTGAGGGGCTGAGAGGCTGGAGGGGTGGCTTAGAGATGGAGAGGTGGCTGAGAGATGGAGAGGTAGCTGAGAGGCTGAGAGTTGGAGAAGGTAGCTGAGAGGCTGAGAGGTGGAGAGGTGAGGGTAGGGTTGAGCGGCGGCTGAGAGGCTGAGAAAGACTGGGAGGCGGCTGAGGGGTAGAGAGGTGGCTGAGAGGTGGCTGAGGGTTGGAGAGGTAGCTGACAGGCTGGGAGGTGGAGAGGTGAGGGTGAGGTTGAGCGGCTGCTGAGAGGCTGAGAGAGGCTGGGGGGTAGAGAAGTGGCTGAGGGATGGAGAGTTGGATGAGAGGCTGAGAGGTGACTGAGAGGCTGAGCGGCGGCTGCGAGACGAAGATGTGGCTGAGAGCCCGAGCGGCGACTGGGAGGCTGAGAGGTGAGGAAGTAATTGAGAGGCTAAGAGGTGACTGATAGACGAAGAGATGACTGAGAGGTGGAGAGGTAGCTGCGGGGTGGGGAGGTAACTGAGAGGCTGAGAGGTCGCGGAGAGGCTGTGAGGTGACTGAGAGGCTGAGCGGCGACTGCGAGGCTGAGAGGTGACTGAGAGGCTGAGAGGTGACTGAGAGGCTGAGCGGCGGTTGCGAGGCTGAGTGGTGGCTGCTCCTGATGAAACAACGCATTTGAGTGGAGAATGCTGCAGGTGGCAAACTAGTCAGCTGAAGACGGCGCATAATGTATGCCATGACGCGGTTCCCCAGTGTCGAACGGTAGGGGCGTCCCTGACGCCGAGCGACATCCGTTCATGGGGTGCCGCGTTGCTCGGGACATGTGGCCATTGCAGGTACCTGAAGGGAGTCCCCACCGATAAGGTCTCATTTATGCATTTCCCGTGATATTGTATGTACTGTTGCAGGATAATGGACTGTTACGCATTATGGAATGACAACTGGCCTGATTCTACTGATAGCTTTCCTTCCCAAGAAGCACTGGTAACGTGACATCGGAATGTCAAATATATTTTGGTACAAATATATACTGATACAACGCGTACATGACCATATCTACCGAGATTATACTGAAATCGGCCACGTGATAGGAAAGGGCTGCCGATGCGAAAGTCGAGCGTTGGTTGATGCGCTTGAGAGCTATCTGCCGGTGTTCTCTACAATGCACCTGTTTGGTTCCAATGGACAATACCCCCTCCCCTCCTCTCCCCTCCGCGCAATAATGCATCACCCGGCATCCTGTCAGAGCTCGTTCTTTGACGGGATTATCGGGTCAGCGGTTCACGGGGTCCGTGTGATGTCGTGGAGCTACTTCGCGTGGGCCGTGTGGTGTCGTGGAGCTGGCAGCCAGACATCGCTACTTCGCGTGGGCCGTGTGGTGTGGAGCCTGGCGTCAGCGATTCACGGGGATCTATGTGGTGTTGTGGAGCTGGCAGCCGGACATCGGTATTTCGCGTGGGCCGTGTGGTGTCGTGGAGCCGGGAGTCAGCGGTTCGCGGGGGTCCGTGTTGTGTCATGGAGCTGGCAACCGGACGCCGCCGGCTCGCGTGGGCCGTGTAATGTGGAGCCGGGCGTCGCCGTTTCGCGGGACGGGACGGGACGGGACGCGGGAGGTGCGGTGTTGCGGAGTCGGGAGCAGTGCATCCGATGCTGCGGCGGCGGTCGGGTGCGTGCTGTCCGCCAGTAGTGAAAGCCGGGAGGCGGTGCTTGTGCTCCGCGGTCGGTGGCTGCGGCGCACTGACTTAGCGGCTGCACTCGGTCAGTGCCTACCGTCTTAGCCAGGAGGCTCCGGATCTTACGCATGGGTAACGATTGTTGCGGCTCCCCACGGTTCCCCATGGTTTGTCCAGTGTACCCGCGTGGTCAGCTGTACGTGTTTGTTGTTATGGCAATGTTAATAGAATATCACGTGCCGATGCTTTTTTTGTTGCTCAGGCTGTGGTTTCTTGGTTCGTTGTGGCTGAGCCGAGCCAGCCGTTGGCCGCTGCTCACAAGCGTTGGCGTGCACGCCCCATGCGCGCCGGCGTGCCTGCTGCTAACGCGTGCAACGTGGCTGGGTTGGGCGGTGCATTGGGGGTGACTGTGCTGCTGCTGTTTGGCCGCTTTGAGATGAGCGCCGCGTGGGGATGCCGCGGTAAGCCGAGCACTGCGCGGGGATGCCGCGGTGAGCCGAGCGCTGCGCGGGGATGCCGCGGTGAGCCGAGCGCCGCGCGGGGACGCCGCAGTGAACCGAGTACTGCGCGAGGATGCCGCGGTGAGCCGAGCGATGCGCGGGGACGCCGCGGTGAGCCGAGCACTGCGCGAGGATGCCGCGGTGAGCCGAGCGCTGCACGGGGATGCCGCGGTGAACCGAGCACTGCGCGGGGATGCCGCGGCGCTGACACGGTCGGGATACCTCGTGCGCCGTAGCCCGTGTCGGGCCATGACTCGAGGCATCTGACCAGCATCTGACGGAGCTGTACATGAAGATTGCATGGTCGTGCCGCGCCGAAAGTCTGGTCACGTGACGGCGCTGTCGAATGGCGCTCGCTTCGCGTGAGCCGTCAAGTCCTGCGGACATCTGCTGTGTGGACATTGTGATCCCGTCTGGTAGCGATGTCGAAGTGCAGGATACAGTGTCGAACATGGGCAGCTGAGGCAGTCGCGACGCGCTGGGTGGTCTATATCTGTCTTGGTCTCGCATACTATTGTATGCATATGAACGGCAGCGTCGCCAGCATGGCTCTCGATTTTTGTTAACTGTTTTTTTGTTTTTGGGTAGGACCATTTATCCGGCTGGAAATCATTGAGCCTGCAAAATGTCATTAAAACTTTACACCCGTTTCTTCGTGGATGATTGCGTAGGCAAAATACCTGAATTGCACGCAAGCGCCCGCATTGTTCCTTTCTTTCCGGCGATTTGCCGCCACGCGTGCTATCGGAACATTTCCGTTTTCATTAGTCCAAAATATCTCGCTGCGGCCATTGACTGAGCACGATGGTGTGGAACACGGTAGCATTTTCGCCTGATGCTTATGGGCTGACGTCAAACGGAGTTACCGCCGGATCCGTCATTCGTGAAAAACCAGAGACCACGTCCAACAGCCGGCGAGCTGGCGGACGCCAGTGGACGTCAACCGGGGAACGAGGCCCTCCGTCTTAGACCATAACAGCTGGCTGATGTCAATTCGTCGCACTTGGTAAACCACGTCGGACTGATCCACAGGGAGGCCGTCTCCCCAGTTCGGCATCTACGGCGTTGGTTTGGTTTGGCTTTGAACCCTTTCGATCAGTAGTGACCAGTTCAGGATTGTGGGAGGGAAGAAAGTAGGTGCTGGTGGAGAAAAACCACATATCAATGGGAGTCCTCCGCCGAGATCTGTCCCGCGCAGGGACGAGTATGGGGTATATGCTTGGCATTCTAACGAGGCTCGTCTCCCGGGGCCACCAAAACCCGCTCACGGCCGGTGCATGGAACCTGCCCGGGATAAACGGGGTGCCGTGGAGATGCAGGAAGCTGGAAGAGCTGGAATGAAAAAAAAGACATTTTGACATGTCATGGCATGTAATGCAACGACTGAGAGATTAAAACAAGGCAGATATTTCGCCGGGTTTACATACCCCTCTATTTCGTTATCACAACTTACTCAGGAAAAATGCGCACCACTGGAAACAGTCTCCAGCTACGATTTTCGCTAGTAAAGTTGTTCTGCACCATGATCGTGATGAGCGACGATTTTAGTCGACCCAGTCTTGTGTCATCCAAAGTTTGGCGCAGCCCAGTTCTGGTGATAACGCAGAGGTGCTGAAAGGTTCAAGTTGCTGGTGAAATCTGCTCCGATGCCGGGGCCAAACCTGCTGTAGTTTGACACCGTCGGGAACCCGGACCACTGAGTACGATCGATGCATTTGAAACCACGCCTTTCTTGTCGGCTTGGAAGCCGCAGGTTCACTGGCATATCGTTTACGTGTGAATGGCTTGGTTTCAAAATCGGCTGACCGTGAGACAGGCCAAGGTCATGTAGCGGTGCAAACCCGTCCTGTTTCGAAAAGGTGTTCCGCTTAAAGGGAGTGTTCCACATTTGCATGGGGATTTGAACTGAAACAGCCATCTTTAAGCTCATTCGGTGCAGTTTACAATGCTTCCCTTCTTGAAGCCCAAACCCTCTAGTTTCTGAATTTTCGCCCGCGAAGATGCGCAGACTATTTCGGGGAGACTTTCAAGGTCACCTATGACGCTATAACATCAGTCAAATCCTGTCATTTCGGTGACCACGCAGCGATCTAGGGCAAGCAAAATAAAATGGTCGATTCGCTCATATCTGGGGTTCCTGAGCACAATTTTCGGTTACAGCAGCCGTCAGCTGGCTCTCAATGCTGTGCGAGGCACCACGACGTAATCAAACAATGACGCATTGAGGAGCATATGTACAAAACAAAACTGCGTTGTCCGAAGCACTATTTTTCATTTAAAAGCATACCAGTGGCTGTAAAAGAGGTTGTTTCATCATATCTGATGCTTTTTCAATATCTTCAACTGTAGAACATTCCCTTGAACGAAATGTTCCATATTTGAAGTCCCTTTGAGAAGAATGGAAGAACATTTCCCTTTGAAGGAAATGCTCCACCACACGTACACGGCACCACGACGTAATCAAACAATGACGCATTGAGGAGCATATGTACAAAACAAAACTGCGTTGTCCGAAGCACTATTTTTCATTTAAAAGCATACCAGTGGCTGTAAAAGAGGTTGTTTCATCATATCTGATGCTTTTTCAATATCTTCAACTGTAGAACATTCCCTTGAACGAAATGTTCCATATTTGAAGTCCCTTTGAGAAGAATGGAAGAACGTTTCCCTTTGAAGGAAATGCTCCACGTTTGAAGATATTGTAGTAAGCATCAGTTATAATGAAACAATCTAGCTTATAACTATTACCATGCTTTGGAGTGGAAAAGATGGCTCTAAAGAACAAAATGTCTCTATCTAGTAAAAATATTTCTCAACACGTCATTGTTCGATTGCATCATGAAGCGTTTGTATCACAACACTCGCTTGCAGTTCTTCAATCTC